GTTTATAGCCTCTGCTTCCGCCTTATTAATGGTATGAAAACGGTTAATTAAGCTCTTCGAATAGCAAAGAGGAACAGGCCAAGTTTGGCCAAAACCAAGCTGACGGGCAAAAAATTGGGGAGCATAAATTTCTACCCCCGCTTTGGCATTGGTCCCAGTTAAGATATCATAGAAAAGCTCCCTCCCAGTTAAAAACTGGATCCAAATGAACAGAGAGGTGCTCGCGCTATCTATAGTGGAAGGGGGATGTACATAGTTTGGAGTCAAAAAAGGAGGAAAAGGAAAGAAGGAAGAAATTGAATCTAAAGAATAAAAGAATGAAAAAATGTCCCGTCTGGACATATTTACAGGAGTTAAGGGCTCCATAGCTAGCCCATAACAGCTAGCAGAAGGACGAGAAATGGATGGAGCACCAAGCGATGGAAAATAGGATCTCAACCACAGTTGAGTGAACCAAAGAGGTCCACTGCCAGTGGGAGATGCACCATTCTTCAATTGAGCCTGAAGAAAAGCCATACCTCTATAAAGGGCAGCCAAAAATAAAGAACATAAATTCAAAGGCCTGCCACGAGCCAATTCGTGCGCTATAGGTAAATAACTCAGAGAAGGCTTTATACTTGGCACACACAAAACATATTTACAAAGCCAAACTAAAAGAAAGGCCACCCGCTCAGCATGGGTAGGCTCAGCGCTCGAATGATTATGGAGGGTCTGCATGCTTGAATAAGAATCGGTGTAGTTTTTGCCGAACTGTGGGGCGCCACCAGAAACTAAAATACCTGGAAAAATGGTATCGCCCAAAGGTGGTAAATTCACCAGGGCCCCAACATCCCTTAACGTAATAGACATGGGGCCAAGAGGAAAAATAAAGGTGTTGTACTCAGAGGACCAAAAACTCAAAGCAATCGGAAAGAGCGCTGTGTCAAAAGTAGGGGGGCGAATAGAGACTTCTAACAAATCAGAAATCCTAACGCCATCAAAAAGTGCCTTAGTAGGACCATGACCCACAAGGCGAGCATGCCACCTACGAAAAGCTACATCAGATTTAGACCAAGTGCGAATACCTCTTTCGCGAAGTGGCCCCAGCGGCAGAGAGTTTAGAAAAGGAGGGCCATGAGTGCAAGGAAACAGCTGATCACTGCCGCCTATTCAACTGCCTCTGCATTGTTGAAGAAAGGACCCAAGTAAAACTCATTACGTCCAACGTCGGCGGGTGCGAGAAAATTTGGGATTATGTATGGGCGACTCAGAAGTTTCTGAAAGTCATCAAAACTAAAAGAATCGCTAGCTTGAGATTGTGAAGTAGCCATTGGGGAATGAACGAAGCTTTTCAGGGTTACGTAACAAGGAAGCAAAAGATGAACAGTGAATTGTGAAAGAGATGTAGAAATATGAGGCTGGTTTGGTAGCAGTAAAATGGCGTGTTTGGGGTTTATAAGGGTTTGCAAAACGACGCACTTCTTCAAGTTATAGAAGGAAACAATGATTGAAATTCTTGGGAACTTCGAACGTCGCTGGAAACATGAAGTGAATATGGCAAAATTCAATGATTATTATTAATTCTGCCATATTGGGGGGTAATTGTTGACACATAAAAATTCAGTCCAAATCGAACAGCCCAAGGAATAAAGCCCAATTGAAGGATCCTCAAATCAGATAGCCCAAAGAACGAAGTCCAATCAAACGAATTAGGGTGAAGGCCCAAATAAGGGGCCCAAGAATGCGCGGTTGAACGATGAAAGATAATGGCAGCAGTTAAGAGACAGTTTCATGACAAAATGGCCACTACAAAGAAAGTGGGAAGTTATAGGACGATCAAGCAGTTTTCAGGTTAGTTAATCACAAAAAGATCGTCTAGGAGGTATAAAAGGGAGAAAGGACGCAGAAGCAAAGGAACGAATCCAAAACTCTCGAACAGAGAAATATGTAATTTTCATTTCCTTAACTTTTAGACTTAAACATTTTTTTGTAACTCGTGTGCTTGCGCCCCTTGGAGGCACGTTGTTTTTCATTCCCAATTGTAAAGTCCATCGCCAATAAAAGAACACCCCCTTTTTGGGACTTTGTTTCAAGAGGTTTCGTCCCTTACACAATCGTCTGACCCCTTTTAATTGTTAGCGACTTAACCCGCGCGAAACACCTTCTATTTGCCATATACGCTTGCATGTATGTGGCACGTTTTAACATGTCGTTATGGGCTGATGGCAGTGGTCAGTCAGTAAGCATTAATCGGAATTCCCAGTTATTAGAGATACATACGTCTTATCTTGTATCCTAGATTCCTAGTATAACCATCTATTTAGTGTTCTTGTTAGTTATGCTAAAATAGAGAATAAACCAGTCCAAAATATTGCATGAATATACAATGCCTTCTATTGAAAAATGTTTTTAAGCTTTGCCTTATCATGTTGTTCCTCAAGTAAGATCGTATATGATTGCAATATGTTGGGAGTTGCAACTAACACTTGATGATATAACTTTTTAACAGGAAAGTTTTCTCATCATATCCATGTCTGTGCGGAGGGAGGTGAGAGACTGGGAGCCAGTGGGGCAATTTGGCCCTGCTGAAATCTAAGATTTTTTATTTTGGTAGTGATTATGAGAATTAATTTTTTGATCATTAGAGAGAAAAAGTGAGTTCTATATGTGAGTGAAGAAGTAAAAAATAATGGTTGGAATAGTGAAAATAACAGTAAAAAAATTGATTTTTTGGGGTGAAAAATTGCTAACAAACGGGGGCTTTATTTTTTTGTCATTTTTGGGCTCTCTTTGGGCCCCATTTTTTAAACTAGCTTTTTAAAAAGTGATTTTTTGAGAGAATATGGTTAAAAAAGTAATGAGAAGTCTTGAGTTCATGTGTAATGCTTTTTAATTAAGAGAACGTGAGGTTAAAATAAATTTTAGGAAAAATGAATTTTAAATAATGGAACTCAACAAGATCTTAATATTATTATATTGTGTTTGGACTTTTTTCCCCTTAAATTATCCCCCCACTGAATACTTTGAAGGCATAAGCACTTGATAATGTTGTTTTATTTGTAGTTCTTGTTTTCCCTTATTATACCAGCTATATTTTTAACAATTACTTTATTTTAGTTTTCTGTTGGAGCTTTTTGAAAGTGATTCTATTTTCAAAATGTATTTTTTCTGCTTCCTCTTAACATGCTAAGTTTACTTGTCAATCTTTGTGTTTGATAGTCTGCAGACTGCATTTATGAGTTAACATCCGACTTTTAACTCGAACAACTTTTGCATTTAGTTTCCAGTCGGTAGAATTCATCGTCACTTAAAGTCAAGAACTAATGCCCATGGAAGAGTTGGGGCAACGGCAGCGGTTTACTCAGCTGCAATTCTTGAATATCTGACAGCAGAGGTGCTTGAGTTAGCTGGAAATGCTAGCAAAGATCTGAAAGTAAAGAGAATAACACCAAGGCACTTGCAGCTGGCCATTCGCGGGGACGAAGAGCTCGACACTCTCATCAAAGGAACCATAGCTGGTGGTGGAGTGATTCCTCATATCCACAAGTCCCTTATCAACAAAACTAACAAGGAATGAATAAATTTTGAGTCAAGCCACTTGACCTGCACCGATGACCATTGGAATGACCGTGTCCTCATTTAAAAAATCCCCACCCCCATGTGTGTGTGCCGTCATACTCACGGTCACTCCTGCAGTTCGTGTAGCACAACCCAAATTTTTTTCTCTTTTCTGATGAACAATGTCTTTCTGTTTCTTGTTTTAGGTAGGTATTTATATGCAGCTCTGATCATCTAGTTGACTAGTAGATTTGTTTAATATTTGTCTTTTATAATGATGGTATCTAGTGGATTTTGAGATTTTAAACACGTTTTAAGGATCTAGCCAAATTCTTTTATGTCAATGTTGTGCTGCCATGGGGTTTGTGAAACTGAATCTGAGTTGTGCCGATCTGCTTCTAGACCTAACCAATTCTTAAAACATAATGAAATTTATGAAATAAACGCACTGTACAGGTGTATTTACACTTTACATACTTTATTTTCCAAATTTATATTTTGCATATTATATTTTTACAATATGGTAAATTGGTAACTGAACAATTTTTGCTGAAAAAATTACGAATTTGTTGTTATAAATAGTTAAATTATTATTTCATTTTTATCTATAAACCACGTTTTTCATATTTATGTTATGTAACACGTTATATTTCATTTTTTAATTAATTTTTAATTTCCAAAAGTTCAATTATTATTTCCAAAACCACTCCTGCTTGCGAGCAGCAGAGAAAATTGGGGTGCCAAACGAGATGCTCGGCTGCCGTCGGCTTAAAGTCATCAGATTTTATAGATTTGGTCCCGAACTTCCTCCGACCTCCAATTTAGTCCCCAATCTTCAAAAATCTTTTCAAATTGTCTCCTACCTCTCCCAGTTAGCTTTTATTTGACTCTAACATAACATGTCCCTTCTCATATATATCCTAAACATATCAAAAACTATTAAAAAACTAGACCGAACATAAGCGATTTAACTCAAAACTATAGGATAAAATATGGGAAATAAGTGTAGAAACTCTACTATTTTTGTGGCTTGCAAGTGACTCCACGTCCAGGGGCGGACCTGGAGGGGGGGGGGGGATTTTTGGGGTTTGGAAAAAAATGTACATTATGCAACCCGTAATCAGGGGCGGACCTTGGGGGGGGGGGGATTATAGGGGCAATTGACCCTCTAGATTTTGAGGAAAAAAATATTTTTGCTTAGCTTCATTTTTTTTTCCTTAGTTTTTTTTTTTATTAGAAGATACCCTATAAATTTTATTTTTGACTCCCTAACCCAAGTCGTCTTGGTCAGCCCCTGTCCACATCTCTCCGACTTTTTTCCTTTTTTTGTGGTTGCCGTATTATTTAGTAGTGTTGAACAGTGTGTCACTATGTATAATTTATGATCTGAGTAGTTTTACATAGTTTTAATTAATAATTGACATAAGTGAAGCAGTTGGGAGTTAGAAGGTACATGCATAGTATTATGTGACATATCCACTCGTTTTAAAATTTGTGTTACGAAGTTTACCTTCAAAATTTTAATCCACAATCTACTCCTTTGTACTCCAAACTCGAACTGGCCAGTTTGGTCCTGTTGAGTTCTCATCTTTCAATTGGTTCCATTTAATTGATTCTATGTTATACATCTAAAATAATACTGAATAGAACCTTGTTAATAATATGCGTTACCTTATTTTTATCAATGACATTTTCACTCTATTGGATCAAGTCATAACATTATGTCAGTGCATCATTGATCTTTTGAGCAAGAGGCCGGAGGGCATGTTAGGAATGGCATTTAAGAGTCAAAAGAAGCTTTTGAGATTCAAAAATTGGATCCTTTTTATTAATTTTATGAAATTTTTTTTAGTTAGAAGAGCTTTTAAAAGAAGTTTGTCAAATATAACTTCTTTTAAGGGTCTGTTTGATTGCAAAAATGGAATTGAATTGTCTAAAAAACGGATTCCAAGAAATTGAATTGTCTAGAAAGTATTTTTGAAGCTCGTTTGACTTTGTTTTATATGAAAATTGTTAATTAAAGGGATCAAATTTACTGGTATTGGGATATAATTTGTTTCCATTGCCAAAAAAATTAAGAAAATTATCTATATTTTGGTGTTCGTTTGGCTTTATTTTACTTGAAAATTGTTAATTAAAGGGAAATATTTTTTTAAATAATTCTTAAAAATTTGTTTCCATTGCAAAAAAAGAAAAAAAAAAAAGAAAAGAAAAAGTGAACAGTGGGTTGGGAAACCAAGAAAATACCAATTCCCAATACAACAAAAAAAATAGAATTTCATGGAAAATAAAACATATCAAACACACAAAATTGAAACAAGTTCGAATCAATCAAATAGGCCCTAAGTTCTTTTAGAAATCAGTTTTTAAACAAAAATTAAGATATTTTCCTAAAGAAGCTCTTATATAGGAAGTAAAAGCAAAAGTAAAAACCATGTCAAATGGGTCATGAATCGCTTCCCGCTCAAGTTTTCAAAATTTAATTTTGATCTAACTTTGCATCCAATCATCTGTTGTCACCACTTCATCTGTCAAATAGGTGGGCAATAATTTCTGACAAGGTGGCTTAACTCCGCAAGTTAAATGATCATTATGAAATATATGTCATCTATAGTTTTCTTTTCTACTTTATTTTATTGATGACAGGATGCATGCAAAATGTTGAATTACATTGTAATATAGGGGTAGTTTGGTCTTTGTACATTCTTTTCATTCTGTATATATATGCATCCATCTTGTACAGCTCAGTAATTTTTCAGCTAATGCAATCGTGCTTTTCCGCCATTTTCTCTCTCCTTTAATTCTTCTCTCTATATCTCATCATGGTATCAGAGCACTAAAGCTTCCATATGCAAATCGCAAAGAATTCTACCACTCAAGCGGAGATCCAAGATGAATTGGATCAGGTCAATTCATCAATCGATCCAGCAGATGGAAAAGCTGGTTCTGGAGATGAAATTTCGATGGTGAATCGATTGATTACTGATCCAAACAGCCCATACTATCTGCATTATGGTGATAACACTGGAATGCAACTTATTTCAATTGAGCTCACTGAAGAGAATTATGCGACGTGGAGTTGTGCAGTCATCATGGCACTAAATGCCAAAAATAAGGAGGGGTTCGTTGATGGATCATTCACTAAACCACATCAGAAGGATCCTTTTTACGGTGCTTGGAGGAGATGTAATCATGTGGTTTCCTCATAGATGATTCATGCCATTTCAAAGGAGCTTTACCCAAGTGTGATGCACAATGATTCCGCAAGAGAAATCTAGATTGAACTTAGGGATCGCCACAGTCAAGGTAATGGTCCTAGATTCTATGAAATTAAGAAGCAAATTGCTTCCATCTCTCAGTCAAACAACTCCGTAAACTCCTATTTTAACATACTCAAAAGAACTTTGGGAGAAACTTGAGAATTATAGACCAAATGTTAGTGGTACTGACTACAAATCTGAGGATCAGATCATGCAATTTCTGATGGAGCTAGATGATCAATTTTCACATGTGAGCAATCAGATCCTACTGATGGATCCCATGCGTTCACTCAATAAGGTTTTTGCTCTAATTCTACAAGATGAAAGGCAAAAGGAGGTGGTGGCTAAGAAACAAAAGAATTTTGATGCTACTGCCTTTGTTGGTAAGATGGTTCACAATTCAATTGGTAACCAAAGAGCAAGCTCGTTTAATCAGCTTCAAAGAAAAGATAAACCGATATGTAGTCATTGTGGGATGGTAGGACATCTTAAGAGTAAGTGCTATAACTTGATTGGTTATCATCTGGGTCACAGGCTAGCTAAAGGAAAAGCTCCAGTTGCCAATGCTATTGGTCCAATTGCCAATTCTGGCTCAGACATTGTTAATTTCTTGTCAAACATCACTATCACAAGAAGACAATGCCAGCAAATTTGGCCATGTTAGCTCCACAGTTGAAAGGGAAAACTTCTGCTAGTCATCAACAGTCTTAGGAAGTGATTTCATCATCATCTTAAATGCCAGTTAATGATTCCATAGTTGGAGATAAGTGGATTTTGGACACTGGAGCCTCAGAGTACATGGTGTGCTCAATTAAGCATCTGATGACTGTAAATGCAAGAATTAAAGCTATTGTGAGACTGCCTAATGGTGACAGTGCTTTAGCCACACATATTGGGACAATAAAGTTGTTCAATACCTTGATACTGACAAATGTTCTAGTTGTGCCATGTTTTCAATTCAATTTGATCTCTGCTAGTAAACTAATAACTCAGCATAGTTGCTTCATGATTTTCATTAACCACCATTGTTTTGTTCAGGATCTTTCAACATGCACGACAATTGGGATAGGCACACTTGAAGATGGATTATACCACCTTCAGCAACCTGAGCACCAATGCAATGATCAGTCATCAATTCATTCTCAACAGTCCACCTTAGCTCTGGATAATTCCTCTAGTGTCAATCCAAGTTTGAAATGTAATAATTCAATGTCTTTTGTTTGTAATTCCACTGGCAATGTTACTCTTCAAAGTAAGATTGATATCTGGCACTGCCGGTTAGGACACATTCCTACTTCGAAATAATCAATTTTACACAAAGTTGTTCCAAACATCACGTTCAATAAGCATCTACATTGTTCCATTTGCCCCTTAGCCAAGCAGAATAAGTTGTCTTTTCCAAATAGCCAGACAAGATCAACTAATATCTTTGACCTTATTCATTGCAACATTTGTGGACCATACTCTGTCCCTTCCTTAGATAGATCAAAGTATTTCCTAGCAATTGTTGATGACTACAGTAGAATGACTTGGACATATCTATTACATGATAAATCCCAAACTTGATCCACTATGCAGTCTTTCTATCATTTAGTACCAACACACTTTCAATGTAAAACAAAAATTATCCGATCTCACAATGGGATGAAATTTAGCATACCAGAATTCTATCGTGATAAGGGGATTATCCATCAACTAAGCTGTGTAGAAACACCACAGCAAAATGGAATAGTTTGAGCATAAACACCAACACCTTCTCAATATTGCCAGAGCCATTAAATTCCAAGCCAATCTGCCTCATCAATTTTGGGGTGATTGTGTTCTCACTACCACACATTTGATCAACCTAATACCTACCCCTATCCTTGGAAATATATCTCCCTATGAAATGTTGTATCAGGTCTCATCCTCACATAATCATCTTAAGGTTCTTGGATGCCTATGTTATGCTTCTCTTATTAAAAGAAATCGTACAAAGTTTGACCCTAGAGTCACTCCTTGTGTTTTCCTTGGTTACCCTTATGGCATAAAGGTTTACAAACTGTATAATCTTCTAACACATTCCACGTTCACCTCTCGAGATGTACACTTTTATGAGAATATTTTTCCCTATCATCATCCTATGTTGATCAACTCTACTTCCACTTCTAACATGTCTTCTTGTTTTGATCAGCCACTTTTCCTAGTCCCATGTCACCCACATCCTGATATTAATCCCTATGATACTTCTCCCATTTCACATCCTATTCCTCAAAGAGCATCCTTCAGATACTCCTTATTCTCATGTTATTGCTCAGCCTACTTCAATCTCTATCCCACATAGTGTTCCTCCACCTGACCTTTCACTTACAACTGATAAATCTCAATCTGAAAAATCTTCCACTCCACCCCTCCTTCCACTCGAAGATCAAATAGACCCAAGAAAGTTCCATCTTATCTTCATGACTATCATTGGAATCTGGTATCTCAGATTTCTGTTGCATCCCAATCAGATCTCATGGCGAATGGATCTGCCGGTGGACCAAAGTACCCCATTTCAGATTACTTAGACTATAGCAGGCCGTCACCATCCCACAGATACTATGCACTGGCCTTATCTATGGTTCATGAACCTCAGTCATTTGTTGAAGCTGCTAAAAATCCAGATTGGTGCAAGGCTATGGATGCAGAGTATCAGGCACTTGTCTCTAATAACACCTGGTTTATTGTTCCTCTTCCTTCCCATAAGACTCCTGTAGCTTGCAGATGGGTTTTCAAAGTTAAACTTAAATAAAATGATACTGAAGAGATGAAAAAGGCCCGACTTGTAGCCAAGGGCTTTACCCAACAAGCTGGTTTGGATTACGAAGAAACGTTTTCACCAGTTGCCAAGTTAGTTATGTGAAGACTTTACTTGTTGTTGCTGCTCAGAGGCAATGGTATCTCCACCAGATTGACATCAACAACACCTTTCTTCATGGTGAGCTGAAGGAAGAAGTTTATATGATGATGCCTCCGGTTATGAACAGCTGGGGTCGAATGGTGAGAAGCTGGTTTATAGATTAAATAAGTCGATTTATGGCCTTAAGCAGGCGTCACGACAGTAGATCACCAAGTTGTCTTCTTACATCATCTCACAAGGTTTCAAGCAATCAAAATTTGATTATTTCCTATTCAGTAAACAAAAGGGCTATCCATTCATCGCGCTTCTCATATATGTGGATGCCATTATCATTGGAGGGAAGGATATCACCTACATTGAGCAGTTTAAACAAGGTTTGAAGGAGCAATTTAAATTGAAAGACTTAGGAGTTCTAAAATTCTTCCTAGGACTTGAGGTAGCAAGGAATTCTAATGGCATATCCATTTGTCAGAGAAAATATGCATTATAAATTTTGACAGACACAGGTTATCTTAGTGCCAAACCAGCTAGCAGCCCATTGCCACAGAATTTGAAGTTCAACAAAGATGATGGTGAAGCTATTGCAGATGCAAGCATGTACAGGAGGTTGGTGGGAAAACTCTTATACCTTACAATCACAGGACCTGATCTGTCATATGCTGTGCAGGTCTTAAGTCAGTTCCTTCAATCACCAAAACAACAACATTTGGAGGCACCCTGTCACGTGTTGCGGTATATAAAGGGCACACCTGGGCAAGGTCTCTTCTTTGCCTAAAATGCCGACTTAATTCTCAAAGGGTACTGTGATGTGGACTAGGCAGCATGCTCAGACACCAGAAGGTATATCACTGGATATTACATATTTTTAGGAAGTTTATTAGTGTCCTGGAAGTCCAAGAAGCAACATATGGTTTCCAGATCATCAGTCGAAGCAGAATATCGATCAATGGTAGCTGTAGTGTGTGAATTTAGTTGGCTGAAAAATATACTTAGTGACTTGGGAGTGCAACATAATAAGGCAGCTTTGTTGTTTTGTGACAACCAATCAGCTATACATATAGCCAATAATCCAATGTTCCACGAACATACAAAACACATAGATATTGACTGCCTTTTGTTGGGGGACAAAGTGCAAGCATATAAGGTCAAGACATTACATGTATCATCAAAGGAGTTACTGGCAGATTTGTTGACAAAATTGATGTGGGGGTGAGATAAAGGCATTACATGTATCATCAAAGGAACAACTGGCAGATTTGTTGACAAAACCATTGGGGGGTCAAGTTTAAGTCCTCGTTAGTCAAGATGGGAATATTGAATATTCATTCTCCATCTTGAGGGGGGCGTGTTGAATTACATTGTAATATAGGGGTAGTTTGGTCTTTGTACATTCTTTTCATTCTTTATATATATGTATCTATCTTGTACAGCTCAGTAATTTTTCAGCTAATGCAACTGTGCTTTACCGTCATTTTCTTTCTCCTTCAATTCTTCTCTCTACATCTCATCAAAAAGAAACCATTTTGCTTCAAACCTGCAAACTAGCCTGTTCGCAAGCATATATGCATCAAGCATCGTTCCTCGTTCCTCATGCTACCTGAGAAAAAATACCTACAGTCCCCCCTACGATAAAAATGAGGGAACCTGTAATTCTCCAAACGGGACGAGCCAAAAGTAAATAATAATAGCGGAAGAAAAATATTAATGAAAATTAAATGACAGTAGTATTCTCATTTTCTTGAATATTTGGATTATTCCATAGACCAATTCCGGGTATCTATTGACAAGTTGCCTTTGTCTGCCTCCTTTAAATCCATTTATGTATCTTCTCATGTCTATAAAAGCAAAACCAATCCAAGGATTTAAAAATTTAGAAGTAAGAGAGAATATCAAATGTCAGTATCCACTCCCCCCTTGACCTCTCTTCTTTGGTCATCCTCGTCTGTGAGACATTCGCGGGTATTACAATTTCCAGCAATTACTACTCTAAAATTTACAACCAATGGTAAGTTCAAAGTTGCACATCTTGTGCTTCAATTTTTTTGTATGTTTCGTTCTTTAGTCCTTGTTTGATACATATTTTAAAACTAATAATTTTTAGCAACACATTGTTTCAATAAAATAATTTTGCACGTGGACCCACAATTTTTTTTCTACTTCTCACAAAATCCACATCAAACAGGCCTTAATTGAAAATGTTGAGCTTTATATGTATCATTTCCTTTGGTTTTCACTTGTTTGATTAGAAAATACTGGTTTTATTTTACCTAATAAAATTAACAATATTGTAGTATAAGGTGTTTGGCTCTCGTGGAAGCATGTTTATTTGAGTTCCCTTCCACTGTGCAATGCTGCATCCAGACCGTGTAGCGAAGGTACGCAGGGGCAAATTTAGTAGGTGGCTAGCTAGGGCGGCCTCCCTAGCTGGATTCGTCAGTGAGATTTTTTTATTTTTTATTTATAATAGAGAAATATTTTAGGTTATATAACTGGTAGTTTATTTTACTTTCAAATCTCTCTTCAACTTAGTTGGTTAGAGCTTCCTTTTATATATTGTGAGTTTTGGGTTCGATTCCTTCCCCTCCATTTCATTGTGCAAAATTTTTATTTCTACAATATTTACCAAAATTAATTCTCTAAGGAAAGGATTCAAACCTATAACTTCTAAAATTAGGATAATTCGAAGCTTAACCATCATGTCAATGGTTGAATTTTGAATCTAAATTTAACAAAATAATACATGTTAAGACTTTAGGAGAGTTTTTTTTTGGTTTTTTGGTTTTTTTTGGTTTTTGTCGTTTTAAATATTTTATGCTTCAATAGTTTATAAGATATGACTTATGAGTATTGAGCTTTAATATATATGTTATTTGAGAATTTGTCTACTATAAATTGTGATATTAAAAATTAATTTAAGTATCGTGAAATATGAATATGTGATTCATGAAAATTGAAAATGAGAAATTGAGAAATTTATAATTTGTGATGAATTGGTGTTGAGAATTGGAAATTGAAACTTTAATATATTTTAAAATTAATTTTAATTACGTTTAATCTTTAATTAACGTTCAATTCTCATACTAATTATGGAATGATTGTTTCAACTGAATTTCAATCTAGTTCTTATAGTGGTGTATCTAAGCTCTCAACTACTTTTAATCAAACAAATGATTTGTTAAGCATTGATAACACAAAAAAGTCTTATGTATCATGTAATTTATATTATTTCAGATTGCGTGGAAATATAATATGATATAAATATACGATTTTTATGTTTTAGTATATTCACATACAGATTGCAGAATTTTTAATATTATTTAACTTAATATTAATAAACGATATCGCTATATAACCGTCGACTATCGACAGTCAACGGTCGACAATCAACGGTCGCCCTAATTGAGTCGCAGTCCACCAATTTGAAATAGTCAAAAACACGAATCAATATACAGGGAGTTGTTTGACCAAGGTCGATCTTCTAATATATAACCTTAAGACTCTTGATATTCACAATTCAAAATTGGAGTGCTTGATCAAGGGATCAAATGACTCTGAAACATAAAGTAACAAGATCAGAATCCCGTTTGGACTATAATAATAATAATAATAATAATAATAATAATAATAATAATAATAATAATAATAATAATAATAATAATAATAATTGGTTCTCTCTCTATAGTATTTGATTTGATTTGTTACATGAGATTTTATAGATTTTAAAATTCCTTCTAAGTTCAAGTATCCCAATTAAGATTTAGAGGATTCTAATGAAATTCTTTAAAATTTAAATATCTTCAAAAACTTATGAATTTATAAAAATTTCCTTAGTAAAGATCAATTTTCAAAATATTTAGATAGATTTCAAACTTAAAAATACACACAACAAACTTTTTTTAAATTTCACCGTTTTAGTGAGAAATTTCATGAAAATATATTCAAATTCACGAAATTCATTAGAATTTATAATCTTTTAAAATTCATTAAAATTTTATTTGAGGAGACCGTTCATCTGGATTAAATAGGAGGCTACTTCAGATACCATAAGGGAACTCATGGAAGCCTTCCGATCAATGCTACAATCCATTGATGACGGAGACATAAGCATGTCGCCTTATGACACTGCATGGGCTGCCATGGTGAGAGATATTGGTGGAAGATGTGCACCCCAATTCCCTTCCAGCCTTGAATGGATTGCTATCAAGCAGTTTCATGATGGTGGAAGATGTGCACCCCAATTCACTTCCAGCCTCGTGATGGTTCATGGGGGTATACCACCTTTTTGGCTCATGGCATAATAATCAACACATTAGCCTGTGTAGTTGCATTAAGATCATGGAACATGGAACCTTACAAAACAGAAAAAGGGGACAAGAACTTTGAATAAATCCTGAAATGGATCTAAGATTCTAAATAATGTTATTGCTATATAACTTATGAATTTTTCAGATTGTAGGAATTTTATTTATCAATGGAAGTATTTGGAAGCTGGAAGATGAAAATGCTGAACATATGCCTATAGGATTTGAAGTAGCATTTCCATCACCCATTGAAATAACCATAAAGTTAGGCATTGATGTGCAGGATTCTCCAGTCTTCAAGATATTTGTGCCAAAAGAAATGTAAAACTCTCAAGGTATGTTTCAGAACTCAAGATGAGCAAATAATCTCTCACATATATTCTTTTTCCTAAAGATAGGTCTCAAGCTAAATATTTGCATTTATGTACTTAAGTAAACATGGGCTGGGCTGCTTGGGTTCAGTGGTCCGACAGGTCAAGAGAGTTAAGGGACGAATTTCACATCGATTAAATATTAAAATACCGACTAACATATAAGGGCTTAGGCTACTCCTATTAAAGAAGTTGCCCTTTTAAGATGGAATTTCAAGTG